TTAAGTTCCAGCATGACCCGGTCCATAGACAGCCATGTGCCCCAAAGAGTTGGAAGGAAGGGGGGGGACCGAGCAAGATGTGGTTTTGTACTGTTTACCTGTTTATCTCTGGTGATCCGTGTGAAAGGTATGGTCTCTGGGTGTATCCAAACAATGTAATTTAGGATAAAAAAGATAAAGAATAGGGTTTTTATAGGAATGTACTTCATGACATATTGTACTTTTGATGGCTTCTAATGGGCCAAGATAATTTCTGAGCAATCCCTGGATGTGGAAGAGGCAGGAAACCTTCCACAAAGGTTCCAAGTCTTTTTCTTCCACTCTCCCCAATCAAACAGCCAGAGCCACCAGGTGTGGCCAGCTTGCTGAGGTCTAAAATAGTTTCTTTGTGTTGAAGGTGAAAGTACAGAGAGAAGGGGGTGTGTGTTTCACCCACACTTCGCTTTATTACTGAACCAGAGCTGACCAATGGGTGCACAGAAAGATTCTATCTGGCTGGTCTGGTAGGCTCACTGTGGGAAAAGAAGGGCCTCTGGTTTCCCTACAGAATATATTTTCATGAGCTATTGCCTCTCTAGCAGGTGCTAGGAAGAAACATTCATGCATGTAAGATGTTTTTTCTCTAAATGATTTGGTAGGATTGCAAATGCTATCCTCATAACAAATTCAAACAAGACAAAATTATATGAAATGCAAACAAGGGGTAGTTGGCCAGGAAGTCAGATGAATTCAACATGATTTCTGTCTGAGTCAGGGAGACATCTGTGTAGGTAGGGGAGGGGCTGTTACTAGGGGACATAGGATCAACTCTGGGGGTAGGGGACACAGGATCAACTCCGAGAACTAGCCTCTGGGCTTCTGTGTTATCAAAGACATTTAGCACGTCATGCTATTTCACAGTTTACCTACCCCATGTCCCTCCCACCTCTGAATCCTTTGCCCTCGTCTGCATGGCTTTGTGCTCCAGGAGGCTGACCCCAGCAGGCTGACCCCAACAGGATGCATAATCCAGGCTCCGCTGCCCCCTGGCTTCTGGTCAGAACTGAGCAATGGGAGGCATCAGGAGGAGAGCAAGTCAGAGTATTCTTCTGGCATCCTATCTAGCAATGGCTGTGTCCCTCTAAGATGACAGCTCCACAAGGCAGCCCTTCCAGTGGGGCTCTGGCCTCCCAGGCCTTTTTGTCTGGATAGTAACAGTGGTTTCTTTCTTTGTGTGTGTGTGTTTTTAAAAAATATTTTATTTATTTATTTGGCAGAGGACAAGCAAGAGGAGCAGCAAAGGAAGAGGGAGAAGCAAGCTCCCCGCTGAGCGGGGAGCCCCATGGATGCCAGGCTAGATCCCAGGGTCCTGGGATTATGACCTGAGCTGAAGGCAGATGCTTAACCAACCAAGCCACCCAGGTGCTCCTGGATAATAGCAGTGGTTTCCATGTTTGTCATTCTCTGGGTGCCTTGACATCTTTTAGGAGTTACCTTAACCCTGCCCCACCTCTGAGAAGAACCTTCATGATGTCTTTACCTGGAAGTGATATGATATATCCATCATGTGGGAATAAACTATCTAACATTCTGACTCCTTTCCTGATCTGGGAGCTGGGAGCATGGCTTTCTAAAGTCTTATCTCCTCAGCACTTAGAACAGTGAACTGAGGTAAACTGTTGAGCTGGCCGGGGACATTTTACTGGGAGGTGACCTTAGACCTGGCTTTTAAGGGACACTGCCATAGGGATGACCATTGTGCCTGGATAAGGTTTATCCTACAGGGGACAAGGTTCAGGTCCATAGATCATATTGAATGGTATCCAGGGCAACATGATCCCGATTTAGGCCCTGAACAACACCCCTTTGTTAATGAGGAGGAGGACTTTGATGACACTGGTGACAACGGTGACGATGATGATGATGGAATGTTCACTTACCTGACTGAGTCATGGGAGGAGCTGATTTTTGTACCATGTCCCTCTACCATTTTGCAAGATAATATTTGCTTTTGAGAGTCCATCCTTTTATTGAGGTATGGTTTATAGACCATATCATGACCCAATTTTAAGAGTACAGTTGGATGAGTTTTGACAACCTTATTTACCTGTGTTACCACTATTCCTGTTAAGATATAGAACATTTCTATCACTCCAGAAAGTTCCCTCTCTTCCCCTGTTTAATCCCTGACCCAAAGCCAACTATTGTCTGATTCATGCCCACTTCCCTTTTCCCAGTCTCCCGTGACCTTGTGTCCAATGCATTCCTTACCACCCTCCTCAAACTATGCTAATCCTTGCCTCTGTGCCTATTCTTTGGCTGTAGTCTGATGTACCAGCAGTGACCCCTTTTTCTTTTAGGACTCCTTTTCTAGGAAGTCTCTCTGATCTCTTCCACTCAGGCTGCATAAAGTGCCCTTCTACAAAATTCTGTGTTGCACTGACTGGACCGCCATTATGTATAGATTTGGTTTATAACATATTTTTGTTCAAGTTCTCCCCCATTACCCCATGATCTCCTTGACGGGGACTGGATCATATTCTGCTCTGGCACAAGGCCTGGCCTGCAATATTTTGTTGTTTAAATGAATAGGTGAATTAAATATATTCTTTTCTTTCAGGACATTGTCTCTCAAGTTTTGACACCACATTACATATTTAAGCCTCTCCGGTTGCAAGAAGCAAAGACTCAAGATATGTAAGAGGATTTGTGGAGATTCATGTGCCCTTGGAAAGGCAGGGAGTCAGGTTAGCCCTAGAGACTTCTCTGTCAGCTTCATGGCCCCTTCTCTGCTCCTAAAGCCTGTTTAGTTTCTTTGCTTCTTTTTTCCAAAGGGCCGTCCTCCACTCAACTTTCGTTTGTTTCCTTAAAACTTCACCTTGAACTTGGCCTCAGCTTCTGGCCCTGACTTGACTTCTCTCTGACTCAAGATGACATTTGTGAAGGTAATAATCAAGCAATCTCATCTAAGCTTTTCAGATCCATATCATGGCCACAGCCTGAGCAGGGACCAGCTGCCAGGTCACATCCTCAGCATCCCTGGTCCAATGTGCTCAGGGTGGGTGGATCCCACAAAGCAAGGTTGCTCAGTGTGCAGGGCCTAATAGAAGGGATGAAGAGATTGGCAGGCATCGTGTAGTCACTCCTAGCCTATTATTGAGCAAAATCTCAAGTATTTGTCCTGTTTTGCTCCTAAATCATTTAAGTTCTCTCATCCTTGAACATAGGAAAGCCGTTTTCCTCCTTTCTGCTTAGGAACATCAAAAGTGGAAGGAAACTCATAGTTCATCTGCTCCAGCATATTCCAGGGTGTGTTCTAAGTAAGTTCAGGTCCAATAACTCTATTAAAAAAAAGTCATATTTAAATACAGATATTCTAGCACTTTTCTTGGGTTGTAGTTCACACCAGGAACATACTTCCCAGTGGCCTGGTTTGCTTTGTAGGATCTCTGGTCTTCTGCATGGATGGACACCTGTTGGGTCCTGGATTCTCGAAAGCAAAAGGGAGTTGCAGACCACTCTCAGAGGGGACCAGCCATGGACCCCTTAAAATTGTTTGCAAACTTGAGTCAGCGTTGTGTAGATGTGTGTGTTTTGTATGTGCACCCGTATGTGCACCCATGTGCCCTTGAGCATGTTTCCTGAGACAGTGTCCATAGCTTTCATCTTACATGTGTGACCAAAAATATGGATAAGAACCACTGCCTTGAAGGGACACTAATTGGTGTGCTTTCCTGAGCCAAACTTCTTATTGTTCTCCTTCCAACTCGAACATTTTATCTGCCACAATTGATCGCCATCCAGCTAATATGAAAAAATAAGAAGCTTCACAGACGAAGAGTCTTGCTGATTACTTAGGAAGGTCATTTTTTCATTTTCTAGATATGAAAACTCTAACTAAGGAACAGAGAAGGGGATCCCTGGGTGGTGCAGTGGTTTAGCGCCTGCCTTTGGCCCAGGGCGTGATCCTGGAAACCCAGGATCGAATCCCACGTCGGGCTCCCGGTGCATGGAGCCTGCTTCTCCCTCTGCCTATATCTCTGCCTCTCTCTTTCTCTCTATGTGACTATCACAAATAAATAAAATTAAAAAACAAACAAACAAACTAAAAAAACCAAAAAACTAAGGACCAGAGAAGGAAAATATAAGTTTGCTTAGATCATTTAGATCAGGCAACTGACCCAGAAGCAACTGTGTCTTTCCTTCCCTCCCTCCCTCCTTCCTTCCTTCCTTCCTTCCTTCCTTCCTTCCTTCCTTCCTTCCTTCCTTCCTTCCTTCCTTCCCTCCCTTCCTCCCTCCCTCCCTCCCTCCTCAATACCTCACCAATCCACTTATGATCTATCTCCCTAAACACTGCTACACATTTGTAGAGGACCAAGCGTTGTGTTGTTACACATTTCCCCATTAGGTGATGTAGCAACCCGGGTGTTGGGTATCACATTCCAATTTTTAAATTTTTTTAGCTTCCAGGTAAGGAAATTAAGGCTTAGAATTTACGAAACTTGCCCAAGGTTGCCCAGCCGGCTGGCGGCAGAGCTGGGATGGTTAAGACCGCGTTTTCCACCGCGCTCATCAGTGAGGCTGCTTTGTCTCACCTCTGCCCCAGGTGACAAGCCGGCTGTCTGCGACCGAGCCTCCCCCGGCGGCGCCCGGGACCGCGGGGCTCACCTGCGGCTCCGCGGGGGCCCCCGGGCGTCGGGCCCCGCCCCCTGGCGGCAGGTGGGCGCGGCGCAGCGCAGCGCATGCTAATGAGCCCGCGGCGCGGCGCGCTGATTGGCTGGCGGGGCCCCGCGGCTTTCCCGGGGCGGGGGCGGGGGCCGAGGCCCGGTGGAGGGGCTCCCCCCGCCTCCCGCCTCTCGCCCCCCGCCCCCGCCTCCCGCCTCCCGCGGCCGCCGCCCCCGCTCCCGCCCCCGCCCCGCGCTCGGGGCCGCCCTCCTCCCCCGGGGACGCCGCGGCGCGTGCGGGGCTGGCGGCCGCCTTCGCCGGGGGCTTCCCCTGCTGCCGGCCGCGGGCGTCCTGGCTCTGACTCGGCGCGGGGTCCAGGATGACGATCCGGCACCAAGGCCAGCAGTACAGGCCGAGGATGGCATTTCTGCAGAAGGTGAGCGCGGTCGGGGGGCCTGGGCGCGGGGCGCGGGGCGCGGGGTGCGGGGTGCGCGGGGTGCGGGGTGCGCGGGGCCCCAACTCCGGGAAGTGTGCGCGGAGATGCTGGGGAGGCGCGGGGCGCGGGCCGGGAGTGGAGGGCACCCTGGGGGCTGGGAGTGCTGCTCGCTGTTATTAAATGACTTATTTGCTCCGTGTGTGCGTGTGTGCACGCTCGCGTGTGTTGTAGAGGCTGATGGTTAGAGGTCCACGGCACCTGTTTGTAGCGGAGACTCTGAAGCCAGGGGCGATGGTCCGCTGGCCGCTGCAGACAACCTGTTACTCTGGAGAGGAGGGCGCCGGAAGGCGGCTCGGCCGAGGCTGTGTCAGGTGTGAGAGAGGATCGTGGCATTACCATAAGGCTCCCAGATGTCGAATTAACATTTTTGCCATTTCTCTAACCCCCAAGAGTGTGTGTGTGTGTGTGTGTGTGTGTGTGGTGTGTGTGTGGTGTGTACCCAGAGACCGCACAAAGATGGTGTGATTTGTAGGATAAAGGGACACCTTGCTCTCAGCGCCCCTAGATGCCTCGTTCAGGTGTGTGTATTGGTGGATCTCGGGTCTGTCTGTGCGGGCAGCAGAACTCAGAGCCTTTCCCTTCCATTGCAAAGGCTTTCTCAGAGCAAGTGGCCCGGCACAGGGTATCCACCCCCGGGGGGTGCTTGGGATGTGGCATGTACCTGGTGGGGTGATGCGTTGGGTTCGAACTGGACTTTTGAGATGACTGGTGTCGGGGGGATGGACGAAGGTTAGGTCCCAGATCTCTTGCTCACTCTTCATTCCATCTACAGCCATATTTCACAGTGCAGCGGACGCCTTTTGAGGCTTATCTTGTTGAGTAGAATTAGCTGAATGCTTTGTGACAGTTAAGAGCCCTGCCTTGAGCCCTTGGAGCTTGGCAAACTGGTGTAGTTGGTGACTGTCCTGATTTGGCCAGGGCTTTCAATGCTAAAACCTGCACAGTCCCAGGCACCCCCCCGGATGGATACCCTGTGGACACAGTGGGTCACACACGGTCTACCTGCTTCAAGAAGCTTGTGAAGTATTCCAGGTAGTAGAGGTGTGAGGATTGTCCATAAAGCAGAGAGGTGGAGTGTTGTCTCACTTAGAACCCTCTGAGCCTGTATTGCAGACCCCAGTTCCTAAAAGCAGGAGAAACCATCTGCGTCTGATATCTGAGAGCCATAAATCATCTTCCAGGATCTTTCCAGCACTGCCTTCTTCTCCCAGACAGCAGGGCAGCCCTGGCTTGTGGAGAGGCTCAGAGAGCAATTGTCTGGAGACATTCTGTGTTCTGAATCTCGACACTCTTTTCCATCGTGACTGTTATCTGGGAGATTTTCGTCTCTTTACCTGGCCTTCTGACTGGTGTCGTGGTTTCCAGCCTCCCTCCACTACCCACCCCACCCCCAGCCTGCCTACCTCTACAACATGCTTCATAAACACATTGATTTTCTTTCCTAAACGAATGCCGATCTCCTCAACCTAAACCCTTCCACTGGCTTCTCATGTTCGCAAGATAAAGTGTAACCTGCTCAGCTCAGCCACTCGGGATCCTGCTTCCACTCATCTCTCCATCTCTTTACCTTCCACGGGCCCTCTACACCTGCTCTCCAGGAAAACAAAACAAAGAAGCCATAGTACGTGGAATCTGGCCTCGACAGCCTCCCTACCTTTCTAGGAACCCTGTGCCCTTTCATACCCAGGTTCCTCTCCTGGGAACACTCTTTTCCCCCTTCTCACCTGCCAACTTCCCACTCCTCCTCTGGGAAGGCTGGTTCTTCCCAGCCCCTGGAGCAGAGCCACTTCCTTCTCTGCCCCACAGACCCTGCCCACACATCCAGGATGGCTTTTTCCCTTTGCCTTGTGGGGAGGGACCTGCCTGTTGTGTATTCTGGGGCCCCCAGTCAGGTCACAGAGCTCCTTAGAGCTGTACTCAGGAGCCCTGCTCTGGGGCGGGGGTGGGGGTGGGGAGGTCCTTGACAATGAGCCAGCTGAACTAGATGTCCAGCTTTCTGGAGAAGGACCCAGACCAAAGGAATGTGGACATGGGTGCCAGGTCATTCACCGCTCAAGGAATAGTCATTGAAATATTCAACGAGTATTTATAAAGTGTGCTGTGTCCCCGTAGTGGGGACGTATGTGCATTATCCCATCTGGTCCACAAGACAAACATTATCATCACCATTTACAGAAGAGGAAATTAAAGGTCAGAGAGGTGACTTGCCCCAGCCATATAGCCACTAAGTGATGGAACCAGGAAAAATACAGAACTGCTCGTCATCTGTTGCCAAATGTGATACTATGCTATGGGCTTGGGGTGGAGTGGAGGCTGTGGGAAAGCCTGATTTAAGTGCATGGGGGATGTATTGCCGAGAACCCAAGGATAAATGGGGTTTCTAGGCAGAGAAAGAGAAGGATGTTCTAGGCAGAGGGAATGGCATGTATTGTATGAGAGAGTGTGTGTGTGACACACGATGGGCCACTCCCTATGGCTGTAGCATGCGTGGGCTCCTGTCCTAGTGCTGGCCTGTCCCCTCTGTGATTTCCAGATCACCATCCCAGCCAGTGCCGGTTGTTGCTGCTCTTGGGACACACCATGGCATTGACTCTCTTGGTGCCATGTGGAGAAGAAGCCTTTGGTTAGATACCATGCTTTCTGGTGTGGCTCCTGACATCTGCCTTTGCTTGGGAAGGGAGTGCGGAAACAGAAATATTAGGAGGTGTGGGCAGCTCCATACCTTTTTTTTGTGTCTTTTTGTTTGTGTCATTTCATTCAACATGCGTACATAATTGTGCACTGATGTGCTAGGCGCTGAGCCAGATGCCAGAGACACTGTAGGGATTAAGACACGGCCCCTTCCTCCCAGAAAGACAGATGCATAAATAAGGAGAGACGTGTTACCAAGGTCATGGTAGACCTTGTGAGAGGAGATATATATATATACACACACAAAGATATGCATATACGTATCACACCAAGTGGGGGACGGTCAGTTCTGCCTGGCGTGGGGGGGGATCAGGACAGGTGTCATGAGGGGGTTGTAACTGAGTTGAGTTTTCTTTGCCAGGAGGACGGGAAGATGAGTGACTGTTCAGGGAGATACAAAATGCAGATGTGTGAAACAGCACTCTGGTGTGGGCGAGACGTCAGGGCCTGGGGTGGCAAGAGTTAATGGATGTTAGGAGCCCAGAACCGGGGGCTTTGGACGTTGTGCTGAGGAGTTGGATGCTTTCTGCATTCAGGGAGAAGCTGTTTGATGTTTTAAAATGAGTCTGTTTACGTGCTCGAAGGACGATTGTGATTCGAGGGTCCGGGTGCTCCTCTATGCTGGCTGCACCTAACAGTATGTTGATATCAAGTCCCCATCCTTAGGGTTTCTGATTTGCTTACCAGGTAATCGAATAATTAAGCGCAATGGAACCCAACCATTGGAGTTTTTTTTTTTTTTTTTTTAAAAAAAGCTTCCAGGCGATTTGACTGTACAGCTGAAGTGAGAGGTCCTGGGACTGTTTGGCAACATTTGGAGACATTTGGGGTTGTCACATCTGGAGACGAGGGTGCTACTGGCATCCAGTGGGTAAAGAAAGGTAGGGGGGCTGCTTGCCGTCCCTCAATGCCCGGGACAGCTGGCACTACAATGAAGAATGGCCTGGACCCCAAATGTCAGTAGTGCTGTGGTTGGGGACCCTGAGCTGGGGGTCACACAGGAGGCTGGAGATGTGCCTGTTGAAAGGCAGAAGCCAGACAGGCAGAGCCTGACGGTCCAGAGGGGAGGTTCGAGGGTCCCACGAGGCAGGATTCAGTGGGCAGGTAAGACTCATCTCAGGAAAAAAGCAGAGTCCGTGGAAGTTGGCTGCTATTGTCTGGGGCTATCTAGAATGCTTCCCAGGCCTCGACCAAGATGGGAAGAGGAGGATTTGGGGGACGACCACTGAGTACTGATGAGGGTATGGGGCTCAGGAGGGTGCATGCAACGGCGGGGTGAGGTGGCAGGGGGGCAGCTGGCCTGTGTGTGGCCAGGCTTGTTAGCAGGAGCACCTTCTCTCTGTTAGCAAAACAACCCTGTGGTTCTGGGTCACTCCGCCTATCTTTGTGTAGAGAGAAGGACTGATTATTATCATCCCCCTGGGAGCCTTCTCCGGCTGGAAGGAAAATTCTAGCCCAGAGATCTTGCACAGTGAGTGACAGCTCCTTAATGTGAGGAGCAGCGTGGGCGTGCAGGGTGGGCTGTCGGGGCCATCAGAGCCATCGTGTCTGCTCCTCTGTGATATTGGGGTTCCCTGGCATACCTGCAGTCACGTCGCAGCACGTTGGCTTCTGAGAGAGGAGATGTGGGGCCGGCACCCTCCTCCCGCCACTGTCCCCCAACACGGGGTCATGGGTGGCCTGGTTGTGCGGCATTTATCCGTGCCGGGGAATGAGAGTTGGCTGAGTCTGGTTGGGAGTGGGCTTGACATTTGCGGGTGGGGAAGGCCGGCCTCTTCCTCATCTCCCGGGGGACGCCCACGGAACACCAGGGGGAGGTGTGACAGTTGGCAGCTATTTGGAGTAGAAAGGCCAGGGCTTCTTGCCGGCTCTCTGGAGAACTTGGAAATGGTTGGGATTCTCTCCTCTCTGCGATGGGCAAAGGGGTTTTTCTCTTGGGCTGGATGAATAGAACACAGAGTCTACTCTTTTTTTCGGGCCACCATGACAAAGTATGGGGGGCCCTGTGGCTTAAACAACAGGAATTTCTTTCCTCACAGCTCTGGAGGCTGGAAACCCAACACCAGATGTGGGCAAGGTTGGTTTCCTCTGAGGCCTCTCTCCTTGGCTCGCAGGCAGCCGCCTTCTCCCCGTGTCCTCACCTGACCTTCCCTCCGTGTGCGTCTGCATCCTAATCTCCTCTCATAAGCACACAGCCCTATTGGATTAGGATCCACCTGATGACCTCATTTTACCTTAATTACCACTCA